GGCCTTGCAAACCCAAATATAAAAAGTTAGGTCATGGTGGTCACACTCTAAATTTGGATTCATTGTGTGTGTTTTCTAAGATAATATTGGGGAGTGGCAAAGGTGAAGGAGAGGGGTGACAAGACTAATATTATAGCAAATATTTATTGAGCAGATACTATGTGTCATGAATGGTGAAAAGTGTTTTATATACATTATCTCCTTTGCCCTATAGGTAGGCATAACACTTCTCATTTTACAGAAAAATCAACTTGTCGATGTTACACAATAAGAGTGGTTGAGATTTAAAGCCAAGTCTGTGACTCCATTCCATGTGTTTTCCATGACTGTTGCCTGAAAACTGAAATATAGGAGGTGCCCGGCTGGTGTGGCTTGATGGTTGAGTGTCCACCTATGAACCAGGAGGTCATGGTTTGATTCCTAGTCATGGCACATGCTGAAGTTTCAGGTTCAAACCCCAGTAGGGGTGGACAGGAATCAGCCAATCAATGATTCTCTCTCATCACTGATGTTTCTGTTTCTTTCTTCCTCTCTGAAATCAATAAACATATTTTAAAAAAAAATCTATATTTTATTGATTTTTTTACAGAGAGGAAGAGAGAGGGATAGAGAGCCAGAAACATCGATGAGAGAGAAACATTGACCAGCTGCCTCCTGCACATCCCCTACTGGGGATGTGCCCACAACCAATGTACATGCCCTTGACCGGAATTGAACCTGAGACCCTTCAGTCCGAAGACCGACACTCTACCACTGAGCCAAACCAGTTTCGGCTGAAATCAATAAACATATTTATAAAAATATTTTGTGCTGAAATTTATAGAGAAAGATTTACTAGTACCCAGGTGCTAAACCTCCCCAGTTTGCAAAGAGTGCTTAGTAATAGGATATTTGAATGCTAGTGTGTAATTTTAGCAAATTCTGACCCATATTTGCCTAGAGATGTATACCACTGCTGAACGAAAGTTTCCAATTTCTATTGCTTTTACGTCATTACAGTGAATAATTTAATGCCTTCCTACGTGTTGGACCAGGATGTGCTTTGTAGGGCTGCTGGGCTGGCCTTCACCTTGTACCATGGAAGTGGTGATCAACTCTGAAGTCACTGTTAAATTAGCGAAGCAAGACAATAGCCCAATGTCCTTTGTGCCAAGCGGCAAACCTGCTTCAGCAGAGGAGGCTGCTATTGTTTCATGAACAAAAGGCATTTTGTCCAACAGAAATGCGTTTGGTGGCCACAGGAGATCATCTTTAATCCCCTGTAACAAGTTCGGTAGCTGTCACAACATTTTAGGATAATTTGGGCTTAATTTTAACTGCCCTCATAGCCTGCCATGCCTCATACACAAACCCACACCTCACTTTATTGATTGGCCTTGGTTTTCTGTCCTACTTTTGTGGTTCTACTACTTGCCAGTGACCCAAGCGGGAAAACAGAGGTCATCTGACCCCTTGTAACCTCTATTCAGCACATTTCCCAAATGTCTCTGCTCCATTCCTATCACCTCTGCCTTAGTTCAGGTCCCTATTGTCACTTCCTGGAACCACTTACACAGCTGCCTGCTGAGGCCCTGTCCCCAGGCTTTTTGCCTCAAGCTCCTTCTCCCCAAAGTTAAGGATCTTCTATGTAAACCCAAGACTGACCAGTCTCTGCCTGTTTAACACCTACCAAGGGTCCTCATTGCCTACAGAATCAAGTCCAAACCCTTGAATGGCTTTGAGAGCCTCTGCAGCTCCATCTCCTCCTCTTGGCCATGATCATGACTATGATCTCCTGCAGTGCTGAACCTGGAGATTATTATTATTATTTTAATATATTTTATTGATTTTGTACAGAGAGGAAGGGAGAGAGATAGAGAGTTAGAAACATCGATGAGAGAGAGTCATCGATCAGCTGCCTCCTGCATACCCCCTACTGGAGATATGCCCGCAACCAAGGTACATGCCCTTGACCGGAATCAAACCCGGGACCTTTCAGTCCCCAAGCCGACGCTCTACCCATTGAGCCAAACTGGTTTCAGCTGAACCTGGAGATTATTATGCTAAGTGAAATAAGCCAGTCAGAAAAAGACAAATACCATTTGATCTCACTCATATGTGGAATCTAATGAACAAAATAAATGAACAAAATATAACCAGAGGCATAGATGCATGGAACAGATGGACAGATCTCAGTGGGGATAGGGGTGGAAGGGATGGGATGAAAGAAGGCAAAGAGATTAGCCAAAAGTCATATATGCATTACCCATAGATACAGTGTGGTGATGGCCAGAGGGAGGAGAGGCCAGAATAATTTCATAGGGAAAAATTAACTCTGATTTTTCTTCTCTATTTTGCTTCCCTCCAGTCTTTTGCCATCAGAATTGCTGACCCTAAGCCCACAGTGGATTGTAAGATTTGTAACAGTCTTTAAGGCAAAGTGGAAGCCTGCATTTCCCACGATAGATTCATGGGAGGTCCCTAGCCAAAAACCACCATCTTCTTTATTTTCTGCATTTGTTACTAAAAAGTTAATTTTCCTCATTCCGGTTCTTCCTTCCTTTCTCTTTTCAGCATCATGAAAACCTCAAATGATGTACCCCCTGGGCAGGTTCCCGTCTTCCACCAGGAGATTTCAAACATGGATGCTGTGGGACATGCCAGTTCCAAGGACACAAATAGGTCATTTTCAGAAAGAAGCTTTCACCTGACCATAGAGACCCGGTGACTATAGTTACCAGAACTAGGCCACCTCAGAACAAATAGGCAAGCTTCCGAAGCTACAGATAAAGAAGAGGCACGCAGGTCATGACCGAAGGACATGACAGGAAGGCGTTTTCTACCGAGTAATATCAGTAGCCAAAGATGGACGTTCTAGAGTGAGAAGATGAGTGGCTGGAACAAGAAGCACTCCTATCTGTGTCGCAAGTCAGTTCTCTGGAAGTTGGGGGGCAAGATGCTTATTTGGGATCTACATCTGTGAACAGAAAGAGATTGGAGCTGGAGCAGGATTGGGCAGCGGAAGAAGCTGACCTGTGATGAGGACTCAGCCAAGCCTTCGCCCACCCAGGGAAATAACTGTCCAAGTAGCAGCGGACATGACTGGCTGTTGGAGCCCCACCTCCCTTAGTCCCCTGACACAGGCTGCCCGGTAATAGAGCTTGACCTCAGGCAAAAGAGGCAGCTCCCTGCCGCTTAAACAGACCCTGGACTTGCTGACAGCTGGAGGCCGTCTGCTGACAGCATTTCCAGCAGCTGAGATACAGCCCTTCCTTGAAGGGGGACGGGTGGTGCATCTCTCTGCCCACTACACTAGCAAACGTCTCCATATATTAATTTCTCTCAACAAACAAAAGAGAACCCCATACATTTAATGCTGGATTTGAAATTACTATTAGAATTTATATTCCATGAATTATCAGGTGATCAGCATTATACACTGAGTGGCCAGATTATTATGATCTCTGAATGCATAATAATCTGGCCACTCAGTGTATTTGTATCTCAGATGGGTAGCAAAAGTATTCTAGACTTTTGCTGGAGATCAACCTCCTATTTTTCCTGAGCTTTCTATCAGCCAGAGCAAAGGGGAAGACTGATCAGGTGCACGATTTATAGTATCTTTGATATCAAATAAATGAGGTACTTAAGAGAAGTACACTGATATTATTATCCTAATAATCTGGCCACTCAGTGTATTTCTGGGCAGGCTGGAATTAGCTGTTCATTCATTAATTTCACAAACCTTTATTAAATATCTATTGCATAGCAGTCTCTGAAAATTGAAGTATGGATAAAAATGCTTTTTCCATAAACTCTTGGGAATTACATTCTAGTGAGAAGGCAGACAAAATAGACGAAACAAAGTAGTAAGAGTTAAAAAGATAGATATACCCACTATATCATAGAAATTTAAAGGGGTGTGAAGGAGAAAATGCTTAGCTATGCCCGCAGGCATCTTCCTATAAGAGGAGGAATGGGCTCTGGCTTGGAGGACAAGAAGTATTTGCATACAAATGATATAGGAAGAACCAATTGCATGTATAAAGGCTCAGAAGAAAGAGTTTCCCATATTATGGGGACCATAAATAGATTGCTTATGACCAGGGCACAGATTGTGTTTAAGGAAGTATTAGAATTTGGGATTGGAAAGAAATATATATACAACTAGAGGCCCAGTGCATGAATTCATGCACCAGTGGGGTCCTTCTGCCTGGCCTGCAGAATCAGGCCAAAACTGGCTCTCTGACACCCCTTGAGGGGGTCCCGGATTGTGAGAGGGTGCAGGTCAGGCCAAGGGACCCAACCAGTGCACTATCGAGGCCAGAGAAGGACATGGGAGGTTGGCCAGCTAGGGAGGGACCGGCTCCAGGGTGTGTCTGGTTCATTGAGCTCAGTCCTGATCAGCCAGACCCCAGCAGCAAGCTCACCTGCCAGTCAGAGCACCTTCACCCTGGTGGTCAATGCACATCATAGTGACTGTTTGACCTGTTGACTGTCTGCTTCCTGGTGGTCAGTGCATGTCATAGTGAGTGGTTAAGTGGCCTTCGCATATCATTAGCATATTACACTTTGATTGATTGAATGGCCAACCGGACGACAGGATACTTAGCATATTAGGGTTTTATTATATAGGATAGTTTGGTGAGACCAAAGGAAGGGGAGGCAGAGGCAGGTGAAGGTGGGCAAAGGAGAGAAGTAGGGGACAGCTGCAATAATGTCAACATAAAAACATTTTTGTCTACTCCAAGTTTTCCAAATGCAGTTAACCGTGATTTGAGGTTGTTGCTTGATTTTTTTTTTTTTTTTTTTTTTTTTTTTTTTTTTTTTTTTTTTTTTTTTTTTTTTTTCCCAAGAGCACCCCTATGCAGAACACTCTTTGGGTAATGTTGACTGACCCTGCCAGGCCATCTGTGACAAGCCTGTTCTAGATCTAGCACCTGAGCAGGTCTGTTCTGACTTGATATTGATAGATAAGGAAAATACTACATTATTGGATGCAATTCCTGGGAATGCTACCATTGCATCTGTCTATTCTTGGAGGTTGGAATATTGAATTCTGTTGGAAGGAACACCCTCTCTCTGTCATAAAGAGTCCTTAGCAACCGATCTGTTGAGGCCACAGACAGGGAGAGTAGAGACCACAGTCTTTAAGTCTTGCTGGTGCAGATAAACTGGTCTGAGGAAGCCGAGGAACCAAATCCAGCGGCACCGTTCAGGCCTTGGCCATCATGTCTATTGCATACCGAGAGCCCCTCTCTGCCACAGTGGGAAAACGCATGATTTTTACAGGTAAAGAGATTTTCTATGTGCTTTCACAAGGAGATCTAAACTTTCTTTATCCCTCACTCATGTGATGCTTATATATATGATACTCACATAATGGATACAAGAATTGGTTCTGACCAGGTGCTCAATGGGTTAGACGTAGGGGTGTTGAACTCTATCAGAGAAGGGGCCAAAATCTAAAATCCAGCCTAAATCGTGGGCCGAATGGTTTACTGAACAGTCATAAACTGTCATTGTGATGGAAACGCAGTGGAGTGCAGTGATGACAGCGCGGTGCGGGCCACATTGCAAGGCCTGGCGGGACGGATTTGGCCCGCGGGCCTTGTGTTTGACACATGTGGGTTAGAGTGTCATTGATATGCCAAGGTTGTGTGTTTGATTCCCCATCAGGGCACATATAAAAATCCACCAATAAATGCATAAATAAGTGGAACAACAAACTGATGTTTCTCTCTCTCCTCCTCCCTCTCTCTCTCGTCAACCAATAAATAAAAAGAATGACATAATCATTCTATATATATTTATTTTGTATGATATTGCTACTTTTACTGTCCATACTCAGCCTGGCATTAATGTGCTTCCATAAACTGATCTGTGACATCCCAGTTCTCGCTACAGCTGAGCTTTCACAAACTTTATATCAAAGTTTGCTTTGTATAAGAGGAACTACTTTGATGCTAATAAAAAGTACACCTTGATCAAATTTTAATTATTATTGATTTAAACTTCACATTCTTTTATAAATTTAACATATCTGCTCGACAAAACTTGGAGCAAGGTGTGCATTTGACCTAGTAAAATTGTTTGCTTTCATTTTGTTCCTTTAACTTGTTCAAAATGATTTGGGTGGTGTATGCGTGTAGAATTAGAATAAGATGTAATTAAATAGAATCTACTAGTTGTGATAAGTCTATAAGAAACTATAATAAAATTCATCTTATTTCATTTATAGGTTTAAATAATGAGCATATATTATAAGCATATCCCCTTGCTTATATGTCAACTCCCACTCTAATCATCAGAAATCTGGCCCCAGCTATTTGCCATTTACATGTATACAAGTATCAGAATTGTGAACCTGAACTCCATGACCAGCAAGCAAACAAACAAACAAAAACAAAAAGCACTTTATCAACTGGAGTAATGTGCTTCCTTGCAGTTCCCTTTGCTTAAAATATACAGGTTCTATTCATTTCCAAAGTTACTTTCAGTGAGGCTGTGTAATACAGTTAGATTCTCTTGTCACAGACTGAATTTTTTCCTGGAATCTCCTAAGTGATTTTTCCATTGTGTAAATGTACCACTGTTTTTTAATCCACTCATCTGCTGATGGGCACTTAGGCTGTTTCCAAATCTTAGCTATGGTAAATTGTGCTGCTATGAACGCAGGGGTGCATATATCCTTTCTGATTGGTTTTTCTAGTTTCTTGGGATATATTCCTAAAAGAGGGATCACTGGGTCAAATGGGAGTTCCATTTTTAGTTTTTGAGGAAACTGCATATTGTTTCCCACAGTGGCTGCACCAGTCTGCATTCCCACCAGCAGTGCACATCCTCGCCAGCACTTGTCGTTTGTTGATTTGTTGATGATAGCCATTCTGACAGGTGTGGCACGGTACCTCGTTGTTTTGATTTGCATCGCTCAGATGATTAGTGACTTTGAGCAAGTTTTCATATGTCCCTTGGCCTTCTGCATGTCCTCTTTAAAAAAAAAAGTCTATTTAAGTCCTTACCGCTGATCTTTTCACTGTCTCTATAGTTTGGCCTGAATGTCATGGAGCTGGAATCATACACAATGTAGCCTTTTCAGATTGGTTTCTTCCACTTGCCAATATGTATTTAATGTTCCTGCATGTCTTTTTGTGGCTTAATAGTTCATTTCTTTTTATCAGGAATAATGTTTAATTGTCTGGATGTACCACAATTTATCTATTCACCTATGAAAGGAAGTTTGGATTGCTTGCAGTTTTTAGCAATTCTCAAAAAGAGCTATATAAACATTTGTGTGCTGACTTTGTGTGGCTATGTTTTCAAAATCAACCTGGTAAATACCTGGGTTTGTGACTCTGGTCCAAATCCAAGAGATTTATGGAATAATTAATAGGGGATATGCAATTTAAAAGGCACCATAAGAGATCATCTAATTTAATCTATCATTTTTCAGTTGGGAAGGCTGAAGTTCAGAGAACTAAGTGACTTGCTCAAGATCACACTGCCTTGAAGATGTAAATCTCTGCCAGTCCCCTTTTTATCTGATGTATTTATGTATATTACATCTGACTAAATAAAAATAGGAATGTATTTAGTCAGCTATCCTATATCTACTAGAAAATCTGCTCATGTAAACCAGGAATATTGCAGAATTCTACCTTATAAAGGAATGATCACAATTTCTGTTAGAAATGTATTAGAATTGGAAATACTCTCGAGGACATGGCTGAAAGCAATATGATGAATGAAACTATAAGTGGTAGGAGAAATACTACATAAATGTGTATGTAATTTTGAAAAGCATTGCTCCATTAGCCTGGGTTTCAGACCCATTTATTCATCTCATATTTTTGCCCTGTGAAACTGCCACACTAATAGCTATGTCTCAAATTCAATTATTTTAAAAATAGAAAATGACTTCACACTGAACTGCCAGTGGTTTCCTTTTTGAAGAAAGAATAAAATATTCCTGACTGAAAAATTCAGTGTAAGTCTCACCACTATAATTCACGAAGTAAACAGTCTACTTTTAAAAACGAAATTATGACAAAAGCTTACACATTTTAATGGTACTTAAACATTTGGTTGGCTAATTTGCATTTTATTCTATAATCATAGAATATGATTTGCCTGAGGAACAGCAGTTCCAAGCCAATCCTTCCCTAAACAGCTGGACATCTAAGTTATCGCCAATGGGATTTGCAAGAAAAAATCATTAGTTGCTACTACCACTTTGAAAACATCTAAACCAAGAGAACTTCTAAGGACAAGCTTTGTCTCATACTCTAGTTTTTCTGTGTGTGTTTTTTAATTTATTTTATTTATTTTTTTGTGTGTGAGTGTGTGTGTGTGTGTTTGTGTGTGTGTGTTTAGAATAATAAATGTCTTTGTTACATAAACTAAGATAGGAAGAAAGACTTATTTGCCTTTCTGGATTTTTATTTAAATTTCCAAAATTGATGCCTTATAAATTACATTAATATAGCCTTTCAAAATCAGATCAGGAAGAAATACTCAGTATTAAGAAGAAAAAAAAAAGTTGCTACTGAAACTATGCTTGAAAAAATTAATTCTTTTGTCAAAGATTAGTTGATTGTTTAGTGTGCAATCTTATAGGAAATGGAAGCAAGCATGAAGATTCTATTTCAGGAGACCAAGGTGGTAAACTTAGACACAATCTTGTCTTTTCCTCTTACCCTTTCTGACCTCGGTTTTCACATCTGTAACTTGGGTATAGTAGAACCTATTCCATTAGGTTTACTATAACGATTTAATGAAACAAAGGTGCCTGCATAGACCATGAATTTAACAACATTTTTTGAACTTTTCTTTTTCTTAAGTAGTTGTACTAATTTTTTCCTTGAGAAGCTCATTATCTAGAGGAGGGAGGTGCTGGGAGAGAACACAAAAATCATCCTTAAAATTCTATATATATATTTTTCATAATAAACCAACCAAGTATAGTTTATTCCCAAAGTCTGAAGCTTTAAGCAAGCTTTTAAAGGATACAAAGAGCAATAATCTAAGATGATCTAAACGAGTAGTTTTGAAACTGCAAAATGTGCATATTAATCACTTGGAGAGTCTTATTAAAATGCAAATGCTGGTTCCGTCGGTCTGGACTTGGGAGCCTGGGAATCTGCAGTTCTACCATGCTGTGGTCCAGGGACCACACGTTGAGTAACAAGGATCTAACCTCGTCTGGCCCCACTACTTACTACTGTGGCCTTGGACAAGATAGGTTCATCTCTTGTCTCGGCTATAACGTTTGTACAACAGCAATAATACCCCCCTCATAGGGTTTCTGGGGATTTCAAGTGAGTCAACGTACACAGAATACTTAGAACATACCAGCCGTGTGGTGAGCGCCATGTATGTGTTAACGACTATCATTTGACACAGATCACTAGCAATATAAGTAAACTGTGGGCCATGGAGTCATTGGCTCAGAAGCATGGGTGTTTCTAATCATTAGAGGTCACACAAAGATGTATATATATGTTTCACCTGTTAACTATTGGCCTTTTGGATTTTCCTATAAATCTGACCTAAATAATACTAAAGGAAACAAGTTCCATGAAAAAGGTATGATGGTAGAATGGCAGATTTTGGAATATTACTTTTAAACCTCATGAATGCATGTAACCTTGGTTGATGAAACGATATGCCCTTCTATGGCCAGGAAGAATAGAAAGAGCTGCGTAGGGTGCCCCTGTGGGGAGTCTTTCACTACAGACATCACATTTGTCTCTTTATTTTGTGCTTGTTTCCTCCTTCTGTCCCCCTCTCCTGGAAGAGGAGAGGAAGGACCTGTTTAACTCCAACAAGGAAGCACTTTACCTTTGACACCTGTCAGTTTCACTCACGGCAAGTGATAAAAAAACAAAATGTGCCACTGTCTTGCTAACCCCAAATGCCAGCACTTATCTCAGAAAAGGGCGAACCTTTCACAGAGCTTAAGAAAAGGTCCCTCTGACCACAAGAATCATCTTTAAGAGAAATACGCTCTGGGAAAAGTGTGAGGCAGATAGAAGGTTATCCATAATCTCTAAGCATAACGTCACAGAAATAGACGGCAACTTGCGTATCTGGTCAAATCATTTATGTGAGACAGCAGTTTCTAAAAGAAAGGAAATAATTTCTGAAAACTACAGAATTGCAGAAGAGGTAGTCATTTGAAGAGAAGAAACAGGCACACTGCTCGCCCCTGCTCTGTAACCATGCTCTGATGTCACACGGAAGCCTACCGCCTCATCTGCAAGCAGAGTCTGAGAAGGACGGAGTTGCTCTGA